ATTATTATCCCATCTCATGCCCTTTAGCATATTGCTTCTTAAAACATAAACCGTGATAAATTCTTACAATTGTGGTTATGTATGGATGAGCTCTAGTGGGCCTTTGTTATATGGGCTGGATTAGGTTAAACAGGATCGAACAGCTCTTTGGGTCGAGAAACTCTACGTTCATTTACTGCATTGTGCTCTTAGTAAATCTCATTTAACCCATTGTCTCATAAACCCATTGTCTTCTCATCCTCCATTTTTTTATTCTCTTTATCTGTAATATCTTTTATTGAGAATAAGGAAAATAATATTATTTCTATTATGAGCAGTATAAACTACTGGATCTTTAGGGTTAAATTTGGTCATTATTGACAATAACTCAAAACTTTTTATTTTTCTTTACAGCAACATTGTAATGTGTATTATGCAGCTTGAACAAATCACTTGTAAAATACTTTTTTTGTTTCTCTATTAAACAGTTAAATTACAAATGTACGATTGTACTTCCAAGTCAATTAGACTTAATTTTTTTTCCATTTCAAAATAGCTTAGAATATTTTATTCTATGTTTTTATATTTAGCAATACTTTTATTTTTGCATGATAATATATGAAAAGTTTTAAAGCTAATTTGTATTCCACATATAGAATTTTTAATAGTGTCATAAAATACATATTAACTTATGATTTTTATAGTCTGTAGCCTATGATGTTAATTTTTTGTTACATTAGTTGTTAATGATTTTGCTAAAATATTTATAAATGTTATATAAATGTAATTCATAATGATTCAAATAGGATGTATTGTTATGAATTAGCACTATATGATGGATCATACCAAGGGTAAACAGCATGTATTTGAAATTCAAATTTATAAATCTATTGTGAAAGATTTTAAACATTTATAAAACTAGAGACATTAGTATAATGAACTCCCATGTACCGATCATCCAGCTTCAACAACTACCAACATAAAGCAGTCTTGTTTTATCTAGGTCACCTCCCATTTTCTCCCTACCCCTCAGTATAGTTTAAATTGTATCATTTCATCTGTAAATACTTTAGTATGTATTTCTGGGAGATGAACTCTCTTTTAAAAATATATATAATCGCTGGGCACCTGAGTGGCTTAGTTGGTTAAATGTCCAACTCTTGATCTCAGCTCAGGTCTTGATCTCAGGGTTGTGAGTTTAAGCCTTATGTTGGGCTTCATACTGGGCATGAAGCCTACTTAATAAAAAAAAAAGAGTGAAAAATAAGAGTAAAAAAATTGAAATCTAGGTATAATCATTAATAAAAAAATATATAATCACAATAGCATCATCACTATGAAAAATAAATAATAATTCCTGAATATCACCTAATACCTGGTCTGTGTTCAGATTTGCTTGATTGCTCTATAAAGGTCTTTTTATAGACAATTTGTTTAAGTCAGTATCCAAACAAGATTCACACATTATATTTGGTTGCTTTGTCTCAAGTGTCTCTCTCTCATTTTGTGAGTAAGCATTAGATTGAAGAATATCATCATATTACAATAATCTGAAGTGTACAGCTTGATGAATTTTCACATACTGATCACTTCTGTGTAATATTACCAAGATCATAAATAGAACATCACTAGTTGCCCAGAAGTTCCCTTCATGTTTTCTCCAGGCACATCCCCCTACCATGAGGATAACTGTTATGTTGACTTTTATTTATTATTTTAAATGTTTATTTATTTATTTTGAGAGAGAGAGAGAGAAAGGCAGAGAGAGGGAGAGAGAGAATCCCAAGCAGGCTCTGATGTCAGTGCAGAGCCCAATGCGGAGATTGATCTAACAAACCAAGAACATGACCTGACCCAAAAGGGTTGGACGCCCAACTGGCTGAGCCACCCAGGCGTCCCTGTCTTGACTTTTAATACCATAAATTAGTTTTGTTTTTATAGGAATGGAAGCCTATATATATTCTCTTATGTCTAGTTCAGTTTGCTTAATATGCTTTGAAGAGTCCCTCAGGATGTTGCATGATTCAGTCATTTGTTCTTTTTTTATTGCTGTGTAGTATTTTATGAATATGTACAATTTATCTGTTGTACTTTTGATAAATATTTAGATTGTTTGCAGTTTTTTACTCTTACATATTGTGCTGCTGTGGACTTTCTTCTGCTTGTCTTAGTGAAGTCAGAGTCTTGTTTTTTTTTTCCCCCAAGAGTCTTAAAATCTGTAACAACTCTTCTTTCCTCTCTTTTGTCTTGCCATTCACTTGTTGAAGAAACAGGATTATTTTTCCTATAGAAAAATTCTGGAGTTTTTTACAGCATGGTTGTAGCAGTGGTTTTGTTACTGTTCAGCCTTGTGTTGAAATTGTTCTGTCACCTCAAAAAATTAATAAGTGATTCAAATAATTTTGTGATTTTTCCCTTTTAAAAATATTCAAAGGTATCTGACTTTTTAATTGTTACTTTTATAATAATAAATAATCAACATTTTAGAAACATTCCTTTTATATTCATAATGTGTTAGTAGTATATTAGTACTTTTGATTGCTTTTTATTTTATAACTGTGTATCGTGTTTTAAGTGAAAGTAAATAGTAATGATCTCCTTTGTATATTTCTTTTCATAGGTTTGATATTAATATGCTATCAAAATTTTCCTTTTGCCTAGCAAATCAACATTTATATTTCAGTCCATTAATGGGAAAAATAGCTGATATTGTACACAGGAAACTGGAAACCATAGAGGACTTAAGGTAAATTTATTTTAGGTAAATATGTGGTTGGAGAGGTTCTGGGCTTTGGATGCATATACACTTAGATTGCCACTTCTTACCTATGTGACTTTAATCTCTTGAAACTTTAGTATCCTTATCTATAAAATAGTACTACTGGGGCACCTGGGTGGCTTAGTCAGCTAAGTGTCTGACTTCAGCTCAGGTCACGATCTCGTGGTTTGTGAGTTCGAGCCCTGTGTTGAGCTCTGTGCTGACAGCTTGGAGCCTGGAGCCTGCTTCAGCCTGCCTCTCCCCTGCTCACCCTCTGTCTCTCTCTCAAAAATAAATAAACATTTAAAAAATTAAAAAAAAATAGTACTACCTTGCATCTACTTTGCAATGTTGCTGTGGGAAAGTGTAAACATGATATTGTTTACACATGTAAAATGTAACATGATATTGTTGAGATCTGTGAAAGATTTGAGATTTTACTTTACTTGCAAGCTAACAAGTTTGCCTGCCCTCAATGATCTCATTTAACCTTAATTACCTTCCCAAAGACCCTGTCTCCAAATACAGTTACATTGGAGGTTAGGACTTTAATATATGGAGCTTGGGGGAGGACACAGTTCAGTCTATAGCATACATCAGTGTCCATAGCAGCATTAGTTCGAATAGTCAAAAGGTAGAAATAACCTAAATGTCCATTTGATTGATGAATGGACAGTCAAAATGTGGTATATACCTACAATGGGATATTATTTAGCCTTAAAAAGGAAGGAAATTCTGACACATGCTACAACATGGATGACATTATACTGAGTGAAATAAGCCAGACACAAGAGGACAAATATTATGATTCCACTTATATGAACTCCTAAAGTAGTCAAATTCATAAAAATAGAAAGTAGAATGGTTATTGCTAAGGGCTGGCGGGGGTGAAGAATTGAGAGTTACTGTTCAAATGGCCAAGGAGTTGTAGTTTGAGAAGATGAAAAAGTCTTATAGGTAGGTGGTGGTAATAGTTGCATAACAATGTGAAAATATTTATTATCACTGAATGGTATGATTAAAAATGTTTAAAATGGTAGGGGCACCTGGCTGGTTCAGTTGGTTAAGTGTCCAACTTCGGCTCAGCTCATGATCTCACCGTTTGTGGGTTCGAGCCCCACGTTGGGTTCTGTGCTGACAGCTCAGAGCCGGGAGCTTGTTTTGGATTCTGTGTCTCCCTCTCTCTCTGCCTCTCCTCTGCTTGTGCTCTGTCTCTCTCTCTCTCTCTCTCAAAAATAAACATTAAAATAATGGTGGTATATTTTACACCATTACAGTGGTATATTTTATGCTCTCTCTGTTTTCACGCCCATACACCAAAGTAGCTTGTAAAAGCCGAGACAATTAAAATCAGTGTAAATTTTTTTAAGTGTAAAAAATTCCTATAGACTCCATTGAGAATCTAGTCAAATCTTTGGACATTTCCCTACTCCAAACTACAATTACAAATAAATATACAGTTTTAAAAAATCATTTCAGGGGGTTTTATGGTTAAGTGAAATAGCAATGATAGGTTACTAATTAATGTTAGCATTAAACATTTGAGTAGGGAAGCCAGAGATTGTACAACTGAGTTTTTTAATTTAATATAAAAATTTTTATTTAAGTTTGTTTATATTAGAGAGAGAGAGAGACAGAAAGAGTGAATGGGGGAAGGGCAGAGAGAGAGGGAGAGGGAGAATCCCAAACCGGCTCCACACTGTCAGCACATAGCCCAATGTGGGGCTTGAACTCACCAACCGTGAGATCATGACTAGAACCAAAACCAAGAGTCGGATGCTTAATGGACTGAGCCACCTAGGCGCCTCACAACTGGGTTTTTAAAATATATTTTATTGAAAATGTTGAAGAAATTTGGAAACAAAAATAAATGTAAATAATTTCCCTATCCTAATGATTGAGATATTTTTATATTTACATTTTCATGTCTTTTCTGTAGATGTTTTCTAATGATCATCCCCAAACATTTGTTATATGTATTTTACATTTTGCATTCCTTATTCATTTTGGGTACATTATGATGCTTTATATTTGTAGTTTTCTGATTTTTTTTTTTTAAATCAGCTCCACACCCAGCATAGAGCCCAATGTGGGGCTTGAACTCATGACCCTGAGATCAAGACCTGAGCTGAGATCAAGAGTTTGGATGCTTAACTGACTGAGCCACTCAGGCTCAGTTTTTGTATTGTGTAACACCTGCGTTTTGAAAGCAGGAACTTCACCTTTGTAATTTTGATGTCTTCCTTAATAACTGGAAGAGTTATGTTCCTTAAAAGTATTTTTTGGTGAAGAAATATTAAATGCTGCCAGAAGTTCAGTACTTACTGTCATATATTGCTATCTGTCTAGCATGAAGCATTAAAAAATATGAAATAATTTATTAGTAAGAAACATTTTGCCAAGATTTTTTTTTAGTAAGACACAGATATACAGAGAAAGGGGCAACAAAGCGAAGTCTACTTCCAAAAATATAAAATGAGACTTTTAATGGTGCATTCATAGGCAATTGGTCCAAAGTGATTTCTGAATGAATTTCACTGAAATATTTTCCTTCAAGGCAGTTATCTATAGAATGAGATATTATACACACCTAACAAAAGATATTATTTTGATGTTTTTTTTTGTTTGTTTTGTTTTAAATCTAAAGGCATTTAATTACTAGATGTGTGTTCAAGTCCCATAAGTAAAGGAAAAATTTTGTGGTATAAAACCTGTAATATTTTAACTAGTTCTCTTCCATATCTAATCATTTAGTCTTAGAATTGTTTTTTATTCTTAAATAATGTAAAAATCTTTGCATTTGTTTCCTTTTTAGGTCCTTGTCTGTATTGATGGTCAACATATCTTCTTTAATATCACAACATTTTCAAGACCAATTAGTGAACAAAACAGAACATCTTTTTGATACCATAGATTCTTCCCAGGTCAACGTTGCAAGAAGAATAGTAAAATTTCTTCGAAATATTAAATATAGTTATTACCCACTATTAGAAAGGTGTAATACGGTATTTTTAAGCAATATGAACCACCTTGATTTGGACTCCATCAGTAAAATACTTAGTCTATACCACTCTCTACAGTTTCATAGTTTTGAATTTGTTAAAATGGCTAAAAAGAGGCTAACTGAAATGATTTCTCTGTTCAATCACCCTCATAGCTTTGTAAAACTGTTTGTAGCATTGGGACCCATGGCAGGACCTGAAGAAAAGGAACAGTAAGTTTGGCTAAAAATGCTTTGTTTTTCTTGTTGAGACTCTATGGGGCCTTGCAAGCTTAGACCTCCTTGCAGTTCTAGAAGGCACAGATGTCACCCCCATGCAGTCCTGGAAGGGAGAATGATCTCTTATGTCTGCTCCTTGATGCTTTCTCTGAATGTTCTAATTTACATCTCTACTGCTAAATTCTACTGCTAGTCTACTGCTAAATTCTGAGAAAGGGCCAATGACTTCCTGGTGGTGGCGAACCCAAAGGATGAGGGAGATGGATATTCTCTATGGAGAATGCCGCTTAAGTGCTTTTATTCTCCCTTCCTGGGCCATTTGATAGGCTTTACACACAGGTATAAGACTCTCCCACCCCCAGTATAGGGTGTGGAATATTCAGAATTATATTAGTGCTAACAATGGACCATTCTGTGCTTTGTGATCCTCACATTTGTCATCAAAGGCATTTCTTAAGCACCTTGGTAAGCGTTCCCTTGCTAGGTTGGAGTGAATTTTATCTATCTCCTATCTTTAAAAAATTTCCAGTTTTGCCTGACACTGATGTAGATAGGACTATTTCAGATATAAAGATGAGCAAACATTAAGTTAATGAATGATTACTAGGTATGAGCCAAGAGATATGTATGATTAGTAGGTTCAGTTAAGCAGGGGTTCCAGGAGTTGCATAATAGAGGTATCTGCATCATTATTACTCTGTTAGCAAAGGACACACAGGGAGAGTTTTAATTTTAAGAGTCCTGTGAATTATATGAAGACATTTAAGACATTTTAAGAAACTGTATGAAGATGGGAACAAGATGGCTACTTAAAAAGCTTTTATTGGAATTTTATTTTT